CTGACCAGAATGCCCTCCATGAACTATAGGCCTAGAAGATGAACCCTGTGAAGTATGCATTGAGCTCGAAGAACTATGCCTAGTGTAACCAGCCTCAGACGCAGGTATAGCAGCATGAATGGGTTTGCTGGACCGAGAGTGATAACCTCTCCCTACTTAACCTCGACTCCTAGGTGGAGCACCACGTAAATCACAAGAATAACGGGTCCTCTTTCCCTCACGCTGCTAAAATCCCTCACGTCAAATCATCTCCAACTCCTTAGCAACATCCAGCACTTTCTGGAACAAAAAACCAGAAGCAGCAACATGAGAAACTTCTAGACGAATCGAATTACTCTGCCCCTTAACAAAACTCCTCACTCTCTTAGCCTCTGTAGGAAGTATCATCAAAGCATGCATAGCCAAGGCATGAAATTTACCCTCATACTCTGCAACTGACATACCACCTTGCTGCAAACCCTCAAACTCGGTCCTCTTGCGCTCCCTCTCACTGCATAGAACAAATTTTGATAGAAAATACCTGAGTAAACTGAGTCCATGATAGTGGAGGAGATCCAGCTGGCCTACTACTAATATAATCCCTCCACCACTGCTAGGCAGAGCCAGTCATCTGAAACACTGTGTAGTCAAATCGATGAGACTCCACTAATCAAAGATTATGCAATCTCTCATGACAACTAACTATAAATTCATATGCATCTTGAGTTAATTCACCAGTATAAGTAGAGGATTCATTAGTCTGAACCTCCCAAACATCTTTTGCTCATCAATGGTCATAGAAGATCTGTTCGCCAAATATTATGCAATATCTGGAAACTTCATACTATCCAAACGAAAAGCTACAACAGCAGCTAGCTGAGTCTTGGGAGTATGAGGATCTGGAGCAACTATTGGATCTGGATTCTGACCTCCAACACGAGTTTGTGAGCCATCAGAAGTGACAGGCAAAGCTCCTGCCTGAGCCATCCCCTCTAGGAGTCCTAACATACGAGCCAAGGTATCTTGAACGACTAGGGTGATAATAGTACAGGGTGGAGCCTGAGTACTCTCATCCCACTCGACATGATATTGCATATCCACATCAACAACCTCTGCATCAAGAGGTATAGTCCTATTACGACCCTGGGTAGCTATTGGTACTTGACCTTCCATAGGTGCTGCAATATGACCCCTACCCCGACGTCGAGCTCATCCCCTGCCTCTACCTCAGATAGTCTTCCCAGAAGTAAGTGCAGGAATAGGATCCTGACCACCACTAGCCGCTGTACGAGTCCTCTCCATCTGATAGAATGAGATATCGAGATTAGAATTTCAACAAGATCAAGTGTGCACGATAGTGAATGAAAGAACCGAATATTTCCTAAATGTCCTATAGCCTCTCGAAGATAGGTATGGAAGTCTTCATACCGCTCCTCAAGACTATACTAGACATTGCTCTTGTACTCGTAAGACCGATGAACCTAGGGCTCTGATACCATATTGTCATGACCCAAAAATTACAAGTCGTGATGGCACATATGTTCCCAACCAATAGGTAAGTCAAATAACTTATTTTAACAAAATTAACTAATTAATGAGTGAAAGAAAACAATTAGACAAATCTCCAACACTAAGTTTCTTATAAGTACAAATGCGGTAAACTGAAAAAAAAGTACTACCCAAGAATTGGGGTCATAAGTACAAGAGCTTCTAAAACATGATGCAAGTCTGAAACTAGAATGACAAATCTAACATAAGGGATATCATGTCTGAATAATGAATAACGGAATAAGTAAAAGATAGAGGGGGTATGAGCGACGGAACAACCAAGCAGCTCACCACAGCTCCAAGACACTCCAAATTCTGACTCAAACTGCTCCTCGAGATGTGATCCTACTCTAAATTGAATCTGCATCACAAAGAGTGCAACAAGTGTAGTATGAGTGCGAAACCACGTGAACCCAGTATGTCTCATTGACCGACAATAAAGAAGTTTCAACGGGAGTTTATATAAGAAAAAATAAATTCTTAAATTATACAAGTGTGTGTGTGTGTGTGTGTGTGTGTGTATATATATATATGTGTGTGTGTGTGTGTGTGTGTGTGTGTGTATATATATATCACACATACTATTTAGGTATCATCAATAAAGGTACTCAAACAACAAATACTTTCCAAACACTAAACAAAACACATAATCATCAAGAATGAATGATGTGATGAAATTCAATGCAATATGATACCATGTAATGATATGTATCAGAATACCCAGTACTCACTCAACCGTATATACATGATACTCCTCAAAAATACATCTAGAGCTCATGACCCAAGGGGGACTCGCGAGGTCTATATACCGACACGGACGATCTCCACGTGTTTGTGCGAACGATCTCAATGCACTATCATAATATCAAATAATTTCCTCACAGATGGTCTCCACGTGCCCAAATTACAATCTTAACATCTTACAATCCCCAGCACGGACGATCTACACGTGCCCAACTTATACTTAGTCTCATGGCAATGCCTATACACAATATTATTTCAATATAAGGGGATGATGATGCATCTCAATCAATCAATATCAACATAATACATAACCACCTCAATTATCACAATTATACGGGTGAAATAAACAAAACACCATGACACAAGGATTTCAAGTTAGTAATGTATCAGCTAATGCCCATATGCTTTGGTATTCTCACATTACAATCCACATTCTATTGTAGTAACTTTCTCTTTTTAACACTAGTACTCGTACCAATGCCCGTCACACCATTGATATGAGACCCCCATCTTTTACCCTTACCACATGTCTATTCCATTTTTAAAAAAATATTTAATTAGGAAAAACATCCTTCAACAAGTCTAAAAAGTCTTAACATACCTCAAGTGTCGAGCTCGTGTCACGAATCATCAAGATAGTTCCTTCCTTTTTCGCAAAGTATCGGAATGTTCACGATCTACCAATGATGCAATATTCGTAAGTAAGCAAGTTTGTGGACATTCAAATTATTATATGTCTATCATAGACCCTAAAACTTACTCACACTTCTAACCAAACTTCAAATCTTGATATATATTGGTATGCCAAAATTTTCATACTTGCTAAATTTCAAGCCAAGAACTTAATTCTAACCTATTTAAATATACTAAAACTCAATGTTAAATCATTTAATCTACACCTAATAATTAATTACCTATCTCAATATATTTAACTTAAATGACAATTTCATATTTAACTAAAGAAGTTCAGTGTAACATCTCCACTACGAAATACGCAGAAAGCACCGCAACGTGTCAAATCTGCAAACATTTGCCGAATTCCCAAAATTTTATATAACAATGTCAATCATTGACATGATTGACAAATTAGTAGCTCATGATTGACTTATGATATTCCACTATCATTTTAATATAAAAATAAATAATTAAATAAAGAACTTGTTAACCAAATTGTTCCCAGATCCTACAACTAAGTTTGTCACCGCATCTACATTCCAACTTTTCCATAATTAAATAAACATATTTCCCTAATCTAATCCAACAAACCTAAGCCCTTACTGCCACCAACTTTCCATGCCTTTCAATTCAAAAATAAATAAATAAATAATTTTAAAAAAATCAACTTAATACCACGAAAATCATAACATTAAGAAGGTATCATGTTAAGAATCATAGAGATTCTTGTAAATCATGTGACATCATTACTTAAAACTATTTAATTTCCTTCTACTTTGATCGATCCCTTCCAAATCGTACCAACATAACAACCTGATTTCTTCCTATTCTTCAAAAAAATTACTGTTATATCATTATGTATCACACAACTACGTACACAAGGATTTAAAGAAAATCAGAAGCGCCTTACCTGAAGATTTCGTCTGGTTCCCTCACGTTTGGTATTGACGCCGCCTAGATAGTTTTCTTACCCTTTTATTTTCTGCTTTTCTAATGTTAATTAAGTATAACAAATAAATTAACCCCAGTAACTTAAATCAATTTATGGGTCAAGTATAATGGCATTAAATGAATTATGGGTATGACCCACTAAGTATTAACTATATTAATTCTTCACTAAATTTTTTATTAACTAAATACTCTTAGTCTTCGTATAGTTTTAAAATACCCCTTTCAATTTTTTTCAAAAAGAGTCAAAATAGTCCTAGTTCTCAAAACGACCTAGCGGGTCGTTAGAGAAATGGTCTGGTGGACCCTTGTACTTGTATAAAATTGTGTTCTGGACACTCCTACTTACATTTTTGTCCTCTGGACCACTGAACTCATCCAAACCTAGCATTACAAACACTTTTTTGATGTGACATCTTATGTGGAAAGACTCCACATAGAGCGGTTGATACACTCAAGAGCGTGAGACACTTTAAAAGGGCGCTAACAATCAGATTTTGGCCTTTAAAGGTCATTCTTCTTCTTTATTTCACTCAACACCATTGTTAGTGCCTTTTTGAGCTTTTTTCTCTCTTTTTTCTCAATCTTGTATGTGCAAATTTTCTCTTTTATTGTTGGCGCCTTCTATTTTTTCCTTCGATCTTCTCATCTCTTTTCTTTATTTGATTGTTTTATATTTTTGTTGGTATTCAAGATGACGGTTCGATGTTGCTACTGTGGAATTGTTGAACTAAAGAAATCAAGAACACCAACTAGTCCTGGAAGAATATTTTGGGGCTGCTAAAAATATTCATCGGGTAATGGATGTGGATTCTTCCAACGGGCTGATGCAAATGATTCCACATGCCAGAAACAATACAACATCAAGAATTCGAGTTCAGGGCAAGGAAGACAAGCAAGACATGAAAGACATAAAAGACAAGGAAGACAAGGATCAAACACTATTATTGATATCACTATTATTATGATTATTGTTATTTGGTTTCTAGCCGTTATTTTTAAGATATATTGATTCGTATACGTGTTATTTGATAATGAAATGGACTGCATTTGCTTCAGAAATCAGAAAAACAACTTCATTAAAACACGAATTCCTACAAAAAAGACCAAAGTTTTTCCAATAGCAACTTAACACAAATTCATATATAAAACAGTACAACCAAACACAGTTGAGATCAAGTAATAAATCAAAATAAAGTTGGTTGGGTTCAGGCCATTAGGCTAAACAAAGTGAAATCTAATGTGTGCCTTGACTGTTTGGTGTGCCTTGAATGTTTGGTGTGCCTTGAGTGCTTTTCTAACTCTCCTCTCATAGTTGTCTTTGATTAATTGCAGTTCTTCCCTTTCACCTTTGTCCATAGGTTTATAACTAAGATCAATATTGGTAGGAGTTGAACTTATCAATGTAGAAATATGTAATACCCTGTCAGTATTTCCAGACTGAAAGAACAACAAAAATATTAACTTAGAGATGAATTAATATCAATTAAAGCAATTTAACGTGTCTAAATAATAAAATGCATACCCTCTCCGTTAAACTTCCACCTGATCCAAATAAGAGACCAGAACCAACTGTCTTTACTTTTTTTGGTCTTAGTTTCTTATAGGTAAGAGATGCACCACCTCTCAAAGTTGTGCTAGTATTTTGTTTTTTGGCCAACTGCACTAGAAGTTAATTGTTGAGTGCAACATGAACTTGGACCTGCACTTGGAGTACAACCTGCACTTGGACCTACACATGGAGTGCAACTTGCAATTGGAGTTGCACTTGGATTGCAACCTACACTTATACCTACTCTTGGACCTTCACATGGAGTACAACCTGCCCTTAGACCTGCTCTTTGAACTGCACTTGGACCTGCATTTACACTTGAATGACTTCCAATTGCAGCATAAACATATGTAAAATCTTTAGTTACAACATTTCCAGTAGTTGCAACACTTATTGCAGTAGCGACATTTGAAGTTCCAACACTTGTTCAAGCAGCAACATTTTTCTACAAACATATATTAAAGGCAAAAGTATAACAAAAGTAAAATCCAGTAACAAAGAGACATTAAAGAAAAATTTACAAGACTTGGATATCCTTTTTTATTATGTCCAAACTTCTTAAACACAGAACATTTCATTTTTCTTTTGGTCCTTGTAGCCTTTCCAAACTTCTTCCTAACTGGCTCATCACTATCTTTTCTCTTGTTTTTTCCTGGTCTTCCTGGCAGGACTGTAATTTCAGGTGGTTCAATGACTGATCTTTCACTTTTTGGCCATATTTTCATATTTGTCATAAATTGAATAAACCTATTATATGCTTACAGGTATGTTTCTTTCTTATACCAGTGATCAACAAATGACTCAACAACCCAATCCTTAAAATGAATTGTTGTAAGTGAATGAGAACAAGGTATTCACTTTTATTTCCATGACCTACAGCTACACACATTCATTTTTAGGTCAACAACATGTTTATATAGTGGATCATGGATCTCAAAGCCAATATTACCATTAAACTTTACCTCACAATTATATTCTGTTTCAGCATTTTTTCTAACAATATCCATAGTTATTAGTGATACATCTGTATTCCATATTTCTAAAATTCTCTCATTTGATTAATTCTTTCCATAACTTTGACTCTTATTTCCTCTAGCATAGTGATTATTGATTCGAATGTAATCACGTAAAATTCAACTGTTGAAAAAAATCTCACATATGTTGTTCTCAACGACATCACACTTGCTATGTTCTTTAAAATATGCTCTACACATAACAAAAACAACTACAGTAAAACGGTAAAAACAAGGATAAACTTACGATGAAATACAACTACAGTTAAAGGGATAAACTTACCGTGACTGTAACATAAAAAGCCCTAACTTTTTAAAGAAAATAATAGTAACAATTAAAGCCATTAACTTACCATAATTGAATTGATGTAACAATGGACCACTAACACTATCAATACCCAAGACAATTGACCAGATCTAGATATTAACTTTAGTTAAATTTGGATTTTACGAAAACAATCTCGAATCTACTCAAATTCACCAAATATGCCATTCAAGTTACTCGAAGTCATTAATAAACTAAGAAAACATATTACACTAACATTACACCCAAACCAAAGTAAGATCCCCAAAATATTTCAGAAAATCGAATGACAATCAATCCTATAATCAAACAAATATGCACAAGAAAAAAAAATTGAAACGAAAACAAAAGGCAAGAACTTACAACGATAATCGGAGTGGAACTGAGCTTCAACTGAGCAAAGCTATGGAATATCACAAACGATTCTTAGTGGAGAAATCACGGAGAGGAGATAAGGAGAAGAGGAGAACAGAAGAAGAGGTGTAGTAGAAAACTCGCGAAGGTTTTGAAGTTTTTGCCGAGTATGGACTATTCTTAGTTGACAGATTTACACATGAATTTCAATATCATACGTGAATTATGATTTTTTTTCTTTTTGGACAACATGTATGTGATTCGTGCAACACGCGTCATGCCACAACACAAAAAGTGTTTAAAATATTCGATTTTGAATGGGTTCATGGGTTTAGATGACAAAAGGGTAAGTAGAAGTGTCCATGATACAATCATATACAAGTACAAGGGTCCACTAGACCTTTTGTCCAAAAAAAATTATTTTGAAGTATCAAAATTTTCTAAAAATTAATTAAATAGGAAATTAAATAAATAGCAATATAAAAACTACCACATACAATTTTTCGCTTGCACAAATTAGTTTGAAATGTCAAATATAATAGTTTTGATTAAAATATTGATTCTTTTCTCTGTCTAAAATTTCGAAAAATAATTAAATACGACAAAATAAAAGAAAATATGAAAACCGTCAAACACAATTCCACTTTCACGATTGAGTTTCAAATGTAAAAAATAATAGTTGCGAATAAAAAAAATAGTTTTTATATGTTCAAATTTTGAGAAAAAATAATTAAATAGGAAAGATAAAAACAAATATGAAAAAGTCATTAAACACAACTCCGCTTGTACTGATGAGTTCAAAATATAAAAAAACAGTTTTCAAAAAAGTAATTATCTTTATATATACCAAAATTCTGAAAAAATAATTAAACAGAAATTCTTTTTGAATCGTAACTAAATAGGAAATGAAATAAAATATAAAAAATCCCACCAAACGCAATTCCACTTGCCTAAACTAGTTACAAATGCCAAAACAATAGTTTTCAATTTAAAAAAATTTATTTTTATGTTTAAATTTTTCAAAAAATAAAAAAAAGGTCAAAAAATAAAATAAGATATCAAAAGAATCGTGAAACACAATTCCGCTGTAACAAATAAGTTTCAAATGACACAAATAATAGTTCTCCACAAAAATTTGTTTTTTTATATGTCAAAATTTTCCAAAAAATAATTAAATAGGATAACTAAAAACAAATATAAAAAGACCATCAAACACAAGTCTGCTTGCACAATTGAGTTCGAAATATAAGAAATAATAGTTTCCGAAACAATAACTATATTTTTATGTATGTTGATTTTCTTTGAAAAAGTGATAAAATATTAAATTAAATAATATAAACTATTAAAAAACCCACCAAACACAATTCCGCTTGCACAAATGAGTTTTAAATGTCAAAAATAATTGTTTTCAATTAAAAACATCAATCCAAAGTTTTCAAAAAATGAAAATTAAATAGGAAAAAATATATAAAAATTGTCAAATACAACTCGCTTTCACAAATGAGTCTCAAATGTCAAAAATAATAGTCCTCAATAAAAAGTTTTGGGTTGGCTCAAGGTTAGCGACGTCATGGAACACCTCAAACTTGTCCCTCTCTGGTAACAAGTCCACTGGATCAAACTAGTCATAGGTATGAACAAGTTAAATACAGATGGAAGTTTCATTCATTTAACCTGAAAGGCAGGCATTGAGGAGATTCTGATGGAGACACCATTTTGCTTTATCGATACCTGTTCAGAGTTGGGATGGCAAGGGGACGAGGAAGGGGACTGGGGGACGGGACGAAGGAGGACGGGACGGGACAGGAGACAGGGAGAGGGGATTTGGACCGGGACCTGGATTGGGGGGGGGGACCGGTATTGGGGGGACAAAAATAGGTCCCATCCCGTTTCACTATCTATATATACGGGATGAGATGTGATTTGGGAGGGCGAGACGGGACGGGGTTTTTTTTAAAAAAAAATACTTATATATTTGTATTGAAATTATACATCTTTAGCTAATGAATTTTAAATTTAATTTTTGATTTTTAAATATCAAAATAAATTTTGAAAATTAAAGTTTTAATTTTCAAATTTCAAGATTCATGTTTCAAATTTCAAGTTTCAACTTTAAAGTTTTAAATTTCAAATTTGAGAAGTTTAAATTTGTAATTTAAATATTTTAAAGTAATGAAAATTGTAAACTTTAAATTAAGTATTTTAAAGTTAGTTTAGTACTTTAGTATATATTTAATTGTATATATTAAAATTAAAATGCAAAACAATAATTCTATAAAAAAAACTTGAACAAAAGTTAAAACCTCCAAAATTTATTCAATAGAACTTAGAAGTTCAATTAACAAATATTAGTGGAAAAACTAATATATGCAGTCAGCTTCTAGGAAGGGTTCTGTTTCAATAAGTTCTCATACTTAAAACTAATATTTGTTACAGATATTAGAAGAGCAACTAATTTTGCGCAGCCACCTTCTAGGAAGGGTTCTGTTTCAATTAGTTCTCGAATGTAATATAAAAATATATGTTTTCTCCTTTAAAATTTAATTTTAATTGTCGCATCATATCGATGGTGATATCCTCCGGTGTTGGCAAACTTGCTAGAAATTCTTGGGCCTCTAATTCATCATCACTGCATTCAATTTGTGTTTTGATCCAACTTGCTTGTTTTTTACTTAACTTTGGCAAATTGTTATTCCTCCTTTCGGCATTGGACTAATCTCTAAATAAAACAGTTGTTTTGAAACTGTCTTCCGCCAATGAATGTCTATGATCATCAATTTGAAACCTTGCCGCACTGAAAGCATCATATTCAACTGATGAAGCTTGAATAGCTAGAACATCACGAACCATTTTGCTCAAAGTTGGAAATGCATCGCTTCGCCTACTCCACCATCCTAATAAATCTTCATTGCCATCTTTGATTTTCAATATTTCTAAAGATTAATTAAGATATTCTTCAAAACTATCACGGTTAATAGAATTAAGACCAAGAATACGTCACATATAAGTTGAAATTGGAAGTGACAAATCAATCTCAACATTAGAAGTTTGACCAACTTCTCCTTGAAAATTTTCTGTAGTTCTATATTTTTCATACAACAGTTTTGCTTCTACTTTTATGCTAGACTTACACGTTTGACAATTTGAAATTTTTTCCGGTAAAATTTCTAAAGTTTCATAAAAAGTGTCAATAAGACCACGCACACCTTGTAATTTTAAGAAGGATGAAGTAAAGTAGCCGTTAAAAAAACTTGAGGAATAGGAAAAAAATATTTTTTAAAATTTTCAATCATACCTTCAATTGCAACTCTAAATTTATCTATTATTTACACAATTGAATTGTAAGAGCACAAATATTTATTAATACGGATAAAATAGTAGGATAATAAATTTCAGAAAACATGGTAATCGCATCATAAAAAAGTCTTAAAAATTGTAATAGTTCTTTAGTTTCTTCCCAATCTTCATCACAAATTCTATCTAATGGGTCTGCATTATGAGTATTAAAAACCATTTTTATGGGTCTTCTATATTTGTAAACAACCGAATGCATTTCATAAAGAGAATTCCACCTTGTTTTAATATGTTTTGGAATTTTTCTAGGTGACAATTCACATAGTAAACAACGCTCATTAAATTTCCTAATTCCAGCAACATTGTTTGTATGAAAAATCCAGGTAACGGCATATTCAATTTTTACGCTACCACAATCAAATAATGAAATACCATCTTGTACAATTAATTTAATATATGTTCAACACATCTAACATGAAAAACATTATTGTCAATTGGACATAATCTAACTTTTAACATTTTAGCAGCGTTTGTATTAGTAGATGCATTATCTAATGCGACAGATATTATTTTATATATAATCATGTAATAATCTAAAACACTTAAAATATTTGAAGCTAAATATGCACTAGTTTTTTTCTCTATACATAGTTTATAACTTATATTTCTTTTTTACAAATTCCAATTATGATCAATCCAATGTGCAGTAATCGTTAAATAATCATTTCCATTAACACTACGACCCATGTCCGAAGTTATAGACACTCTACTATCTAATTTGCTAAATATACAACGATGAAATTGATAATTTTTACCGTGAAAATCAAAAACATCAGATTTAACAGTATTTCTTAAAAAGCCTCTGTAATCCGGATTATAAGTTTGTTGAATATATTCAATAAAATCGGGATTTGAAGAAAAACTATAAGGAAAACCACAAACAAAAACCATTTTAGCTAAATTTTCCCGATCTAAGTCCTTATTATATTTACGTTGTGTTATTGGACCAGCGGGGTTAAAAGGATCTAATGTTTCTTGAACCATGTTATAAGCCCCTATCGATGCATTGCCGGTAATATTAAATTCATTAATTTTTAATTGAAATTCCCTTTTTTCTATTGGCTAATGCTTTAGCTTCTTTGTATTGAATTGTCACACAAGATAACAAATGTCTGTTTAATCCTCCCGTTCCACCTTGACCCCCACCTTGTTGTGTTTAAAAGGTTGCTTACACTTATTACAAATACCAACACTATTTTCTTTATCGAAAGTCACAAATTGCCACAAAATAGAAGTTTTAGGGCGTTGATACTTCACCTTCTCCCTTTTGAGAGATATAAGGGTGGATGTCCAAAATTTTGCTCCGGTAAATTGATCGTCTCATTTGGAACTTCTGTCACCAGACTAGTAGGTGTTTCTGCTAACTCCTCTTCTCCTAAATCAGCTTCCACTTCTTCACCTTAATTTTCATCAACATTAGGATTAATATTACCATAACGTCGTTCTAATCTTTCGTGATCGAGTTGAATATTTAAATCAATATCATAAGGAGTATCATCAACATAAGTAGAATCATTTATGTTAAATCTAAATCTACTCGTTGATATAGATGAAGTACCACCACTTTTACTACTCTTTTTTTCTTTACTATTTTTTCCCCAAAATTAAGTAACTTAAAAAGTCTACTTTCTTCGTTATCTTGTGCTTTCTCTTTTCCTTTATCGCTATTTTTTTCTAGAACTCATACTTAATTATATATAAAGTATAATATAAAAATAATAATAACACAAAAATAAAGACGAAAAATAAACTATAAATATTATTAAACGAATGTATCAAACGTCTGTGTTAATAGCAGATGTTAAACTGATTGTTGAAGCTTGTGGTTTATTGTAACTTGTAATTTGAAACTCCAACCAATACTTGATAACAAATATGAGATAATATAATTATATATATTGATATAATAAGAAAATTTTTAATTTTGAATTGAAATATATGGATTATAATAATATGAGAATTAAAATGAAAAAGAAATTAAGATTGACACTTGAGAGTTGAGAGGATATAGAAAAATAGATGAGAGAAATGAGAATAGATGATTTTGTAAGAAATAGTAGGGGATATGTATATTTATAATATTAAAAAAGGGTTAAAGTGTAATTATTATAACTTGAGGGTTTAAAAAAAGTTTTAAATGTAGGGGGGTTGTAGGGGGTGTTTGGGAAAACAAAAAATGGAAAAAATCCGTTGGGAGGATAGACCAATGTGGGTTCCGAACCTCACCTTGACTTCGATTCGAGCGACTCTTGCCTAGAAAAAGACGATGAAATGGTGTCCCACTAGTCGTTTCACGAACAAATTAAAAAGGTAACTTTTTAAAAATTAAAAAAAAAGAGGGGATCTCGCAAACCGGCCGGTTCAACCGTGCCTAGTCGACCGGGACATAGGGGTGAACCGGCCGCTGATCGGTCCCCTCATCCCCCACCCCTTAAACCCCATATATAAGGGGATGGACCAGGCGGGAGCGGGTCGGGTTGGGACGTGGGCCGGGCGGGATAGCCTGGTCCCCCTGCCACCCCTAGTTTAGAGTAGTAGCAGCAATACGACCGCTAAATTTGGCTTACACCGATGCATTCAACACAAAGTACATAATATTTCTTTTGAATTGGACTCAATGTTGATCACTATTCTCATAAAGCAAGGTCACTCTAGCAATATCATTGTGAATCCTATTATAGATGATGATATCAATGCAAAACCAGAGATATTTACGCAACATACTATATTCATTTATAAAATGATTTAGCATTATATTAAGTGCA